CTGCACTTTGGTTCACTGAAGAAGCCTCTTGCTGGTTGTCGACAGCATCTATTCTGGTATTCTGTTAAAATAATTTCCTTACAGATTTTCTAGCTGTTCTCTTCACAGGTTGCACCACAGTTTGTTTATTCTTCACGAGAGTTTTACCACCCTTTCTGCTATTTTTCTTAGTTGTTTCGAAGGGATTTTGTGTGTCATCATTAGCTTCTACATCAGTTGTGCCATCTAAGTCATTTTCTTGCCCTCTTGTATCACCAACATATAGTTCAAAACCAGTCAAATCAACAGAATTTTGTGAAACTCCCGCACGATTTCTAGTCAGATCTGAATTGATTTCTGAAGAACTTTCATTATACAGTAAAGCAAGTGGACCATCTGATACGAAAGTCGCCAACCTTGTGAAGAAATTCGTAAGAGATTAGATTCAGAATTGACAAAAAGGTACCAAACTTGGAGCAGAAGACCTCAACCTGTTAATCACGTGGTTAATGAACCTTGGTATAAAGGTAATAGACGCCACAACCTAATGCGATTTTAGATTGATAAGTCATGAACACTTAAAAAAAACTCTAAGTTGTTCAAGAAGTCTTGGACAAAACCAAGAAAACTCTTGAATCTGATTGTATTATTGAATGAATAAAACATGACCATAGGTAGGCTATTTATAGCCTTACAAGTAAGAAACCTAATGTGAAACGGAAAAGGCTAAAACATGACAAACCTCCCTACATTTTAGGAGAACCAGAATCGGCTCTCAAGGCATGCAAGCTGGCCGAATTATTCCTCAATTTGAAATGACTAAACATAACTCCAAAGCAACTAAATAACCACTAAACATTACTATTGTTATTCTTGGTTTTGATGATCACAAAAGTTCGTTTATACTGACCAAGATTGATCAGGCCTGATGGAACAAGGAAAGCATATGTTTGATTGACTCCAGTCTACGATGCTTTGGATGTGGCAAACAAGATTGAAATAATATAAATGAATTTAGTCATTATTTTGTTCCGATCAAAGATACTGTCCTTTAAGTATGTCTAGTTGGTCATTCTTGGTACTTTGAAATGTTTATCTAACCTCTTTCAAATACAAGTGTTTCTGTCTATCCAAGAATCAGGTTCAAATATGTCATGAAATGCAAGACAACCAAAATGAGAAGCAAAAACAGGACAATCAGGTCGGACGGCCGAAAGGAAACTGTCGGACGTCCGGAAGGATCGGACGCATACCTCGGACGCATATCAACCAGATCGGACATCCGAAAAATTCCAAGATAACTTGCTAGCTCTCGGCCTACGATCGGACGCTGTGCTGTCGGACGATAAAAATCTCATCGGACGTCCGAACTTCAACTTGGCTATTTTCGGACGATTGGTTCGGACGATGATTTGATCGTCGGACGTCCGAAAGCCCCAACGGCTAGCTGACCCTTCATCTGCCTTCTATCCGTTGGAAGCTTTAATGAAGCTCATTTCTGTTCCCCTTTAAAAACAAACTGTTCTGAACGAAGGGAGGACTTTTGCACACTTTGTTTACAAGATCTCAAGAGATATTTTAGCTAGAAAATAGTCTCCAAAGCTAGATTTGTTTTAAAGTGGTGTGAATTTCTGGTGAGCATTTCTTTTGTGATTGAAAGGATCTTTAGTGTAGCTTTGTTGAGGGTTTTCTGAGTGATTGTAAAACTTCTTAGCTTGACTAAGTGAGGCTTAGGGCAAGGAGGAAGTGCTCCCTCCATTGTACATCTAGTTGATCGTCTTCCATCAAAGAGAAGTTGCTCTTCCTAGTGTGTGGTCTTCAAGTTTGAGGATAGCTTGGTAGACACTTGGTTTGATTCCCCAATTTACTTTTCTGTTTAATAAAATTCTCATTGCTTGTTTATACTTGTGTTTCTGATCAATATTGCTCTTGTCTTCTAATCCACTTGGTTGATCATTACTAGAAAAGAAGGAAATTTTAATTTAGCAAAAATTGCCTAAATCTGATTAAGATTTTGAATAACCCAATTCACCCCCCCTCTTGGTTGTCTTTGGGACTTACAACTATGGATTCGAGAGTAAGTGCTCGGCTAGGTTTTAGGTGTCACTCGTGATTCTCCTTCACTTGAACAACATGAACAACCTTCAAACCTTCATGCTCAAATCTCTCAATAACTTTGGGGACAATTTCTTGACTTTGTACATCTCGGACAAGCCCTTAAAGCTCCTCTTGCAGCCTCTTAGCTCGAGCTAGCTTAACCGGTCCTATAGGAACTCGAATATTGTCCGATGGCATATCTTGATTTGTATCACCATCATTTGTCACTTTTTCGAATAAGAGCTTGCCATCCGGTGAGACAATTTTGATAGGGGTCTGACCTGCCTCTACATAAATATGCATATAGGGAAGCCCTTCATAACAGGTAGTCAACAATTCTATGTCCACGTCATCATTTATTGGGATAACACCTATATCCACATCATGGTCTGGAATGGAATACCAAAATTTTGCACATGCCGCTTGTTTTTCAATTTTGGAGTACAGGTTCAACAATGAATATGCTGATAATTCATCAGGGTCGAATTTGTGAAACATTCTCACTAAATCACTTGTATACCTAATCTTGGGATGATGTATAAACCGTTCACCATAGTGCATGTGGATATCCATTGTCCTAAAATGATCTGACATGGTCCACAACCTAAATTATTTAATCAACACTTCAGAATTCAAATATAGATTAATAAATTATATTAAACTACATCACACTTTCAGATTATAACAACAATTAGTTAGACCTGACACATATTATTTAATCAACACTTTTAGATTATATAGTGAAATCTAATTTAGTACTCAAATCCAGACCCGACACATATTATTTCCTCCTGACATCAACCACAGACTCCAAAAAAGACCTATATTCTCCAAAAAAGCTAAAAAAGTTAAGAACTTTACATTTTTAAACCCTATTTTTCTCTGATAAATCACCTACATATGGACCACCAATTATAAAAATGACAGAAACCGTATATTTAAGCCCCAATATATAGCGGAAAAGGAATAAATAAATTGAAAAAAGAATACAAATCCTAAACATCAAATGAACTGAATATTGAACAATAAGTTCTGATTCTTACCTAGAAATGTCGAACAAGCTTCACGATCAAATACAACCACCAATCTGACATTCCGTTCTTCGCGACCGGATGCAGCCACGCCGTTTTCAACTCAGATCCACAATATTTCAGCAACAATTTATTAGTCAAATCTTTTGTTTTAGGATTTTTCTTCTTACACAGGATGAACGAGAGAGAGTCAGTTCTTGATTCTCTTTCATTCTCTATTATAAATGAAGGTATTTTGGGTATTCGACCTGCTGCCGGTAAATCAGTCGGTTCAGAAGATAATTTTCACTTTAATTATGAAGTTTATGATATTTATGTGGAGGTTTCTAAATGATAGGGGTTAAGGTGTTTTTTTCACGAAATCATAAGAGGGTTCCTTGTATTTTACCCTTTTGAGAATAATTTGCTTCATTTTTAGAATGTGAGGAATTAACTTACTTCGTTTTAAAAGTAATTGATAGAAAAAGTTTTTTTTGTTTCCAAATGTTAAGGACAAAACCGGTTATTTTTTCCAAAAAATTATGGCAGTGAATTTAAAATAAATAAAAAATAAAGTTAATAAACTAAAAAAAACCATGTGTAATTTAATTTTAGGGTAAGTTATATTTCTCTCCTATAGTTTTTGCTAAGTTAAGGACCTCCCCACTTGATTTCAAAATTACATAGACCTCCCTTATCAATGTTTTATATCCACCAACATTTATAGAAGTTTTTATTTTACATTTTTACTCATTACGTTTCTTGTTCATGTCATTTATATTAGACAAGTCAAAACAAAATTAGTTTCCTTCGAAAAGGAAGAAGTAGTAGAACAAGAGAGTTTATTCATGAAAGTTGGAGACCATGCATATTAGTAACTTTATTTTAAAGTTTTTACTCTTACTTATCAAAATAACCAAATATGAACACTTGTTTACTTATAAAATAAATTGGATGTGTACATTCTAAAATAAATTGGATTAAATAAAATGAGGTGTAGTGACAATACATTTATCAAAGCAACTCTTTTATTTTCCGTTGTTTTTCTTTTATAATTTTTTTTCAGTAGGGAGATGTAAGACTTAAAAAATGGGGCAACTCTTTTTTTTTTTTTTTTTAACAATATGAAAGGGGTAGGACTTAATAAGCGAAGAGGTGGAAAGTGAATTTGATCCGACGACTTCTAATTTCTGGAGTCTAATATTCCCTCAGCCAAAGCAACTCATATGTCCCATATAATGGAATCAAGATATCAATATTTAGTAGTAAAGTTTAACCAAAAAAAAAAAAGTTTTGTGGACCTGCATATGAAAATTCATACATTTAATTAAAAATAAAAGATAAAATTGATGAAAGCCCTACTTTTATGGCTATACGTATAATTAGGTGCTATTAACTTTTTACAATTATAACGTTTGAAGAAAAGAAAGAACTAGCACCAAAAACCTCATCTTTTTTTTTTGGAAAATAAGCACTTATACCATTGCAAGGGTAGTTTGGGAACATTGAATAGAGTTTAAAATAAGAATAGTTAATTTATCTGAATGATAGGCGAAGTTTTTTTTGCTATCTAACAAACAAGAGTGGAGGTCCCTATTATTCTGAAATCAAAGACGAGTCAGTCTCTAGCTTTTACAACTAGAAAGGAGGTTAATATAATTTACCCTCAATTTCATATCATAAAGATATACTTAATTTATAACATAGGCGTTCTCACCAGGAGTACAACCTACAATATAATGCAGGACTTTGAATAGAGAGTTGGACATTTACGCAAGTATTTGGAGCATTATTTGAAATAATTATTATAACACGTGATATAAAAAGATGATTAGCAAGATAAACAGGTAATTGAAAAAGCATGTTAGCATTACAATTACAAATACTTTTCCAAAATAATCACAGATCCAAACATACCTAAATCAATGAAGAGGAGCTCTGATTTGGTTATAGTGAAACATTCGGCAGATTAGTAACCCACCGTTTGCAGAACACAAAAACATAAGCCCTCTTAGATCAAATCCAGAAGAAGCATTCTTATTAAACATAAGCCCTTTATATGACAAGCAAGCAAGCGAAGGCAAAAGGATCCTCACTTAGAATTGCTTAATACAGTTAAGAAAAACATATCGGCCACTTCAGACGTCTGACAACAACCATGCAGCGGATTCTAGCAACGTACAAAATTTACACAAGACACATTACTTCTTGGCCCATACTCGGCGATCCTAAAAGTACCAAGGTCATGCCTAACCTATGATACGAATCAAGACTGTAGCGGTTCCATGTGATTCAAGTGGAAATAACCTTCACTGTTCCTGTTAACCTCAACCTTGAATTTCTCCTCACTCCCTCCCCTTCTGACCTTAAGATGCAGATCAAACCTAGCAGATTCTTCAGCAACCTGTTGAGGGAAACGGCTTGCATTAAAAACTTAACTAATCAGAAATGAAACACAATCAGGAATGAACCTTAAGGAGTAAGGAGGCTAAACGGCCAGCAAATGAACCTGCATTAGCAAGAGCATAGTTGACAAACTTGATTAAAAGACAGTAAGATCAACACCTTCATGAAGAAATGCAGATGAGATCTTTTTTGAACCACAATTTGAAATTGTAAATTACTAAGGCTGAGGCACCAGGACCTTGAGGTCTTGGGTTCAAATTCCCCCTTCCTCTTCCCCACTTCTCAAGTCTCACCCACCCAACCCCCCCCCCCCTCCCTCTTCCTATGAAAAAAATTTTAAAAAAAAGGAAAAAAAAACTGAATCGAGACATATTTTCAATCTCACTATCCATGCATTTACGAGACACTAGTCATTTTAACATTACCTTACCAGAAGTGCTTTAAAAAGTACTGTTCCTAAAAAAAAAAAAAAGCAATTTTTCTTGACTTTTTATTACAATTAAAAAGGCTAACTTAGAGAGACATGATTACCAATCAAATGCCATGAGTGACAGACTAATGATAATTAGTCACCACATGTTACAGAAAAGATTGACCGCACAACTGCTAGGGTTCATTACTGAAACATCTTTAAGGGGGGCAAAGATGTTTTTGCAGCCAAAAATATCCAAAACAAAATATAGGAAAACAAATAATCAGATGAATATCCATCATTTTCCTCTCTTACAGCAAAGCAAAGACAACAAACAGAAAGGAAGAAACTGCAACATGAACAGAAATGCCAATTTAGGGGACCCATTGTAAATTCGTTATCAATCACCAGCAGCTAGCACAGCTTAGATACCACAACTTGCTCCATCAAGATAACCAACATGCAAAGCCCCCACCCTATAAAGACAATCCATTTAATGCATCCCGCCCTACACAATTTATAGGACCTCCTAACAAGAATGCCAACAACAATTTTTATCTTCAGGATAACTCAAACCATAGCCAGCCAGACATGCAATCTGACTGATGAAGGCTGTGATACTGGTCATACCAGTACTTAACAGTCTGCTTCCAATAGTAAAGTTAACCCCCTGCTACAGGGTAAGGAGGTAAAAAAATCAGCAAGATATATTACATTAATTGGTTGTCCCAAAGAAGAGCAGGGTGAAGAATTAACATCTAAACAAAGGAAATGTAATTCACTAGAAAATTCAATAGCAGATATCTGCAGACAATACCTGAGAAAAGGGAAAAAGAGATAAATAAAGAACACTTTCCAAAACCAGGCATTCCTAAATGCTACAGCACACTCAAAGAAAAGAATGCCAAAGAGTGCTCTCTTCAATACTCATAAGAGGAAAGATGCTGCAGAGTCCAAGCAACTCGCAGTATCAAGTCATCCTGATATCCCATGTATAAATCACTAAATACAAGAAAAAGGGTTCTATAAAATATCACAATTCCATATCAAAAGACTTCCAGAAATAACCTACTAGCAAAAGCAATGTCGGACATGATGTTGCACAAATCCTATTAGAGAGGTATTTAAATATCTGCAAGCACCTTTGAATAAACCAGATTCATATTAATCATCTCACTTCTTTGGGAGGAGATTGGACAGCATACAACAAATTCAGCAAACCAATGTTCGAAAGAAAAAGACTCACTGTGATCAAAAAATTAAAAATAATCATCCACCAGATGTCAGGAAGATACCTCAGCATTTGCATGAAGTATCTCAAGAAGCTCATAAGCAAAAAGCGAGTTAGATCTCTGCTGGATGGTTGCGAGCGCATGGTTTGCAGCATCTTGGACAATTGGATCATGTGCTGGCACTGATTGCCATCCCAAGCCATGGCCATCTGAGTTAAAGACCAAGTCATATAAAGTCAGATAACAAGCACTTCCATATAGGTTTAAAACCTAAAATATGAACGTCTCCCATGAACATAAATACATCTTCAATCTACACCTTTTTAAGCAATGGGGCAAAATTGCCAAAGCCAAACATCAGAACAGGAGAAAACCCTAATGTAATACGAGGCCAACAATCAAAAGGAAGGAAGCTTAATACACTTCCATTACCATAATTCATCCAGAATATGCACCAAAAACAAAGAATCAATTACTGGCATGGCGCTAGAAGGACACCTAGATCTTTAATTTCTTACTCCTATTCACTGTAATCATCACTCCGTACCTGACTTCTCCCAAATTAGTTATGGCAGCCTAGTGTGAAAGGCATGAACTCATCCAGCCAAAATGCTTTGCCATGTCAAGTAAGCAAATAATACGAAAGTGATTGCAGTGCTGTGCTTAACAGCAACAAGTTGAAATAGGTTTTCTCAACTTGCTGGTTAACTTGACTACAAACCAAAAACGCAGGTCTACTTCCGTTAGGTCCATGGAATCTAGCTTAGTAAGGTTGTTTCTAGGAAAATTGAGTTTTCAACAGGGCTAAAAATGCTAATAACTGATTATGCCTCGCAAAATAGACTTTTTACACTGCTCCTTCAAACTTGAGTTGCCAGGAGATTTCAAGTTTCTTTTCACACCACTTCCTCACTGTTTCACATGATGGATCATCCTCCTCCTTTTTTTTCCCATTTGTTTTTTTGTTTTTTATTTGCATAACTTTCTCCCAAAAATGGCCACACTCCACGCAATGTAAGTAGTTCCTCCTGAGTTCATTACATTCCTCAAGTTTATCTCAGCCCACTGATACGATGTAATTCAAACAAAAAGAGGATTTAAAAGCTTTAGGATTGCACATTAAAATAGTTTGAGGTAGTGTTTTAGCACTGAAAGAAATGAACTAAAACCTTTCTCTCTTCCCTATCCCTTCCTAACTCCCCAAAAAATACTTCATTGGCAACATGTGCATGTGTCTCAAATCTGTAATTTGTTATTGTTTCTATTATTCTTCTGTTTCCGCATTTCCCTAATCTGTAACCAGAGCATTTGTATCTCATCCATCTTCTTTTGTTGGTTTTCCTTTTTATACCATATCAGAGGAGCTTACTACTTTTGAAGCCCATTTACAAGTCCAACCCTCAACAGGCTACAGTTATTTCCACATAACTGTCTATTTGACGAGCCAACAAACAAACACCCCAAAACACAGCACTGAGTAAAGGAACAGCTCGAGTAAAAGTGTGTTAAAGTCTAAATGACAAACATACCCCAGGCCATGAACACTCTTAATCAACTTACCTCTAGAAAAGTTTTAAGATCATAAAGAAGTGAACAAACAACGAAAAAAGAACTCAAACCTTTCTTGATGCCAAGATCAGAGGGAGTAAAAGAGGGAATGTCCTCAACATGCTTGAATTCTTGCAGTTCTTTAAAGTTTAACCAAGGTTTCACCCACACCTTAGCTTCATACAGCTTTTTCTTTCCAGCATCAATGACCTCAAGAGTAAGATGGTGCAGTGTCCCAGCAACAACTTGTTCTCGTGCTTCAACCACCCTCACCAACTCAAACAATGCATTCTGTCAAACAATTTAAAGGAGTCATAGGCATGTGCAAAGATTCTATGCATGAGCAATAAAAACCTGGTTATTAATCTGCCTTCACAGCGAAGAACACCCATGCTAAAAATAACATAAAGATTTTGAAAATATCACAGAAAAACTGAAAAAAGAAAGTCAGCATTCACTTTTAACTACAAATATTGCTAAACCCATCTTATATGCTAGACCTCTTAAAGTATGACTTGCACCTAGAATAATGGTACAAAAAAAAATAATCAACCTGCTACTACTAAAACAATCTTAGCAAGTAGCATACACAACCAAAAGTAGTGTACCCGTGTCCTTGAATAATAAAATTTCGCACATCTTGGCAGATCTTACATATGAAGCTTTTCTTCACCAGCCATTTAGCTAAGTAAAAAGTAAATAGAGAACTGACAAGTTGGACATGAAATTGGATTTAACATCCAAACCTAAAAGTCACAACAGGACACATAAAGAATGTCCCAATAATATTTAAAAAATGCAAAACAAAAGAGTGGATAAAAAATCATGCAGCAACCCAAAAAGAAAGGTTAAAGAATACTATGTTGCAAGCCATTTTTTGTCTTCCTGTTGAGGTAAAGGAGGGCTCGGCACCATTAAATTCCCAGCAAGAATGAAAAGACAGTTCACTTGTATAGACTGTGTGGTGTTACTGATTACTGATTGACAACCCCAGCTAGAACTCCTGACATGAAATTTTGACTAGTTTTTCATCTTCTTCAAGTGAACCCAAAACAGCTCATGCAGAGATGTTGTGGCTAAATTAGAAGACAATTGGTATGCCACTCACAGCACCGAGTCATTAAGAAGTTCCCCCTCCAACAACCACACGAGTTATGGTTACCCATTGAACAGTTTAAGCAAGATATGGGCAATAAGATGCATATGCAGAAAGGCAATTGGGTATTGGACGGGCTGCAAGTAACTTACAACAATACAACAATGACGAAACAGCGAAAATGAGCAGCCAATTAAAGGAATAGAGCTCTCAGGGCTCAATGTTAAAACTATAGCAAATACAATTAGGAAACAGGGTAGAAATAAACGGAATTGCCTAAAGACTAAGTATGTATGGAGATGTTTTCTGCCTTATTTGAATGGAATATCAGAGAGTTAGGCTTTGATTTCCATCCCAAATGCAAGGAGCTACATTTGTCCCACCTTGTGTTTGCTGATGATTTGTTCCTTATCCCTGCTGCTACACCTAAATCTTTTCAGGTAACGAAGAGGACTGTGCAGGAGTTTGGAGTTATGTCTGGTCTTTTACCTAACATGCAGAAATGTCAGATCTTTATAGGTGGTTTAGATGTGCTGGCAGCTAATTCTGTGTGTAATGTGATGCAAATGCCAGGGGGTGTGCTGCCTGTAGTCGGCCTTAGTGACCCAACAGTGCCGAGTGGAAGGGCCATTGCTCAACGGATAAAAGATACCTTTAATTAGTTCCAGATTATCTTATAAAAACTGCCAAGCAATCTTTATAAAATTGGAGCAAAAAATTAAGAGCTGGGCAAACAAAATATTGATCTATGGTGATTGTTTACAATTGATCCAATCTGTTCTGTCTGGAATATATCTGCACTGGTGTAGCGTGTTTTATCTTGCCAAAATTAGTGATCCGTAAAATTAACAGTATTTTGGCTTCTTTTTTATGGGCTGGTGAAGTGAAACAAATGTATGGGGCTCGAGTTTGCTGAAATGAAGTTTGTACTCCAAAGAAAGGAGGAGGTTTGGGTTTATACAATATCGAACTGTGGAGCAAAAGCCTGATAATGAAGCTGATCTGGAATATTAGCAACAAGAAGGATGCATTATGGGTTAGATGAGCGCAAAGAATTCTTTTGAAGAACCAATCCTTGGGTAGTAAATATTCTGAATGATGCATCATAGGTTTAGAGGAAAATTTTTAAGATCTGGAATCTAGCTCAACGTTTTATTCCTCATATTGTTGGCAATGGTACCAGGACTAGTTTCTGGTATGATGCTTTGGAACCCTCTTGGGCTTTCGTACAAATGTTTCACTGAAAATCTCTCACACAGCTTCTGTTGTAGACCCTCTACTTTGGTGTCTGAGATCATAGTAGCCTATAGGTATAAAGGAAACAGCAGAGGTAAGGAAATTAAAGGATGCTAGTCCTCAAGGTTTGGTCCCCTTAACTGAGTTTGAAGATCAGGTTGTGTGGGGCTTTCAATGTCAAGTCTGCCACGAAAACCCTATGTGAATCAAGGGACAACGTGGTGTGAACAAACTTGGGATGGGGAAAAGGGTATGTTCCAAGATATGCATTTATCCTGTGGCTTCTTTGCAAGAGGAAACCATCTACTATGGACAGGCTTCGAAATTGGGGTATAGTTATGCCATCTAGCCTATGTGTGTTCAGTGGAGGAGAGGAGGAAGATATGGAGCACTTGTTTTTTAACTGTTGCAGACTTGCAGGATTAGACGAGTGTGGACTAAGGTCGAATATGTGTGACTTTTAGAGGATCATACTAGGGGGATGAGGATCATACTCGGGGTCGAATATGTGTGGGTCATTGGTGTTCAAACGCTTTTTCATCTTTTGCAAAGCAGTTGAAGAGATTGTGTTTAGCTGCTACGGTGTATCACATATATACGGAGATTAAGAAATGCCGTCATCTTTCAGTCAAGATGTGTTTCGATTTCTGGTCTCATGGAGCCAATTTTTGGTCAGGCTTTCCGAACTGGGCTCTGGTTCTTGAGTCGGGGTTAGATTGGGAATGTCTTGGCTAATAGAATAGGAGAATAGTGGTGTGTTGTGTGGGTGCTGCCCTTGTGTACAATCCCAATTGCTCTGAAAACTCACTACGTATGTACCTATGTAAAGACAGTAAAGTTTACCTCTTTCTTGTTGTGTTCCTGGATAGCAAATCGAGCAAGGGCGTCAATCTCAGAGTTATTCTGCTGCGATGATGGAGAAGTAGAATCGTGTAATCCTCCGACAGTTGCCATCCGAATCAGTTGATCTGCGATTTCTTCCTCTTCTTCACCGCAAAACCCTAAGTTGTGCTGTTGTTCTTGTTGACGACAATGAACCTCGGATAAGGAAAGCAGACGCTCAACCAAAGCAAGCAGAGTGCTGCAGAGGACAATTATGGCAATGCTGGCGAGTTGTCTCCTCTTCATTAAAATTAAAAATTTGAAATTTCACACCACCGCAATAAATTTCATCTGTCCTCCTGTTTTTTTCTCTTACGTCCCAGTAGCGATACCCATGCCACATCCGCCGCACCGCCCCAAATTTTGCCATTACAACAAGGATAATTTCAGAAACCTCCTTGAGGTTTTCAACAATTTCACTGACCTCCCTTGAGTCTGTAAAATTATACTAAACTCTCCCAAGGTTAAGTTTTCGGTAACAAAATCGGTCCAAATCATAAAATGTACCATTAAGAAGGTACTTTTAGAGAGAGATAAACTTTTTATTTCAAAAATGCCCTCTATGCTTGTGTACAAGTTGTATTGTAAGGAAATGAAAAACGTATTAATAAAAGTGAGGAAGGTAAACGTGTATAAAGGCAACAAGAAGCATTATAATGGATCTCATTTTTACTTAAATAAGCAAATTTTGAGGGGATGGGGGATGGAATATTGATTTTGTGTAGATTTCGTAAGTTGAAGGTGAAGTATAGGTGTAGAAACTATGGTCTTGTCGAGCTATAAGGAAAAATCATAAAATTCATCCACATCCTTTAGCACCAAGAGCAAATATTGCAAGTGCAATCGCAAGGTAATTGTGAAAAAAAATCCAGACAAATTATTGTTTGGCGTATTAATTTCTGAGGGTGAATAAATATTTGGTACATCAATTGGTACCATTTTGTAATTGCAGGTCACTGTTCACATTAAAAAAATTCCAACAGATATTTTGGTTAATTAATTATTAAGCGATAATTAGTGCTCTAATTATTAATTGTCGGATATTAAATTTCAATAAGACACAATATCTTAGGGTATATGAGTAATTTTTCCCTATGCGATGTAACCAATTGGACTCACAATGCTGCCAAGGGATGTTAGTGTTATTTTATAAACCTCAACGTTAATTTTTTTTAAAAATTTTTTTATCAATGATTCAACCCATTATCAATTTGATGAAATTGGTACAGACTATGGAGATTATTAAAATAAAAAAAAACCTGAAAGGTATCTGATGTGACTGTCAAAAACGCGATCCGAGCTGAGCTGCGACGGGCTGAGCGAGCTGATAGGCCGAACTGACAGGGAGAGAACGAACGACCTGTCCTGCAGAGAAAAAAATAAACGGAGGGGGCTAGCTCCCCGGAGTAGCTTGTCAGGAACACTAGGTAATGCGACATAGCTTTGGGGAATGCGGCGGCGTTTTGAAGGCAGCTCAGACTTCTGGCACATACGGTGTCGTTGCACTTAAGAAGTTAGTTAGGAATTCTGTTGCAGTTTGTTTCAGTTAGTTGCATGGTTAGTTGTCAGCTTCAGTCACGTTGCATGGAGGTGTAGGAAATTTCTATAAATAGCCAAGTATAGGAAAGGCTTGCCAGACAAGATTCATTACAGAAATATTCTCAATAAGATTTCCCTTATTTCCCTCATTCTCCCTCAATTCATGTTTCTCCCTTCCTATTTCCCTCTTATTATTTCTTCTTCTGAGAAATCATCAGGTTAATTCCTGACAAGTGGTAATCAGAGCCTTCAATCCTCGGTGCAACTTAACTGCAAATTCAAATGGCAGACGGTACCAGACTCAAGAATCTAGATGAACAGCTCCGGAAACTTGAGACTAGGGTTCAGATTCAAGTAGACTCCCTGCAAACGGAGTTACAGGACGCTCGAACGCACGTAGATACCAAAATGGACGAGCTCGACAAGAAGATTGACGCGTTAATGGCAGGAATGGAGACGAAGTTGACTTCATTTCTGCAGGCTCTCAACAGAGACAGAGCAACAGCAACTGGTGATTCGCCTCCCCCAGAGAAGACTCCTCTACTGACCAATCCACATGCCAGATGCAGAGAGTGGGGAGATCAGTCAGCAGCAGGCAAGGAGCATAAGGTTACGATCCCAAGCTTACCTAAAGTAGAACTTCCTTTTTTTGAAGGGGACAGACCTCAGGAATGGATCAGAAAATGTGAGAAGTATTTTCTGGTTCATCAACTTCCTGAGGATCAGAAATTGGAAGTAGTGGAGATGTATTTGGTAGGGAAAGCCGAAATATGGTTTCAAGGAATTAAAAGGAGCAAGGGACGAACCTCTTGGGAAGGATTCTGTCAACTAGTCAATAGGAGATTTGGAGACAGAGAGAGGAGAGACGAAGTGGAGGAATTCAACAAGCTTCACCAAACCACTAGTGTCAAGGACTACCAAGAGAAATTTGAGGAATTGAGTTCCTTGATGTTAATCAGAGATCCTCACCTATCTGAATCCTATTTTGTTTCCAGCTTCATCAGCGGTATTAAGGAAGAGATCAAGCCTATGGTTAAAATGTTGAAACCTGCTACCTTACTTGAGGCCTTCGAGATTGCAGAATGGCAGGAACAGTTATTGGCATTCAATGGGAGGAATACCAGAAACTTTAGGACTTGGGAGCCTGGGGAAAGCTCCAAGTCCCTCAGTGCTACTGTTGTAACCAAACCAAGGGAAAAAATTTCAGAACAAATTGGCCAAAGGAAGTGGACTCCAGAGAATACAAACCAGGAACATAGGAAGATCTCTCCTCAGGAGATCTTACGCAGGAAAAACAATCACCTGTGCTTCAAGTGTGGGGAGAGGTTCAGCCCAGGTCACCAGTGCAAATACAGACACTTAAATCTCATTCTAGAAGAGGATGAGGAAACTGAATTTCTGGATGCCATTAGGGAGCAGGATGAGCAGACTGGCCATCCAGGGCAATCCGTGGATATATCTCTACATGCATTAACAGCCTCTATCAAGAGAAAAACCCTTAAATTACAAGGGGTGTTGAAGGGACAAACGGTATCTATTCTGGTGGATACTGGTAGCACTAACAGTTTTCTGAATGCAGCTTTACTGGAGACCATGGAGCTAAGGACAGCTAGTATGACACCCTTAAAGGCAACCATCGCTGATGTAACCACTATTTCCAGTGAATTGTTCTGTCCACATGTAACATGGAGCATCCAGGGGTACAACTTTAATTTTCCTTTGATAGTCATGGGACTGGGAACGTGGGATCTCATACTTGGAGTGGATTGGATGGTGCAGTACAGCCCTATCACTTTTGATTTCCAACAGCTGATGATCAAGCTATCAGAAGAAGGGGGCGAGATGGTATTGGAAGGGGTAGCTGAGCAACCTTCAATGAAGCTTATCAGAGGTAAAGCAGTAAGAAAATTCATGCAACAGAAGCACAGAACCAGGCCAACCGTCTGCTCTGTGTCTGACGGAGGTAACTTGAATGGCGTAAGTCCACTTCCCAGTGAGATTTTTGAATTATTGCATGAGTTCTCAGATGTGTTTGCTGAGCCTACACAGTTACCACCAGAACGAGCACATGACCACACCATCCCACTGAAACCAGATGCCCAGCCTTTTAAACTCAGACCCTATAGGTACCCACATTCCCAGAAAACAGAGATTGAAAACCAAGTCTCAAACATGCTTCAAACTGGCATCATTAAGCCTAGTACCAGTCCATTCTCTTCCCCTGTCTTACTGGTCAAGAAGAAGGAAGGCACCTGGCGTTTCTGTGTAGACTATAGGTACCTAAATGACCTTACCATTAAAGACAGGTATCCCATTCCAAACATTGAGGAGCTCTTAGATGAATTGTTTGGCTCCAAGTTTTTCAGCAAAATCGACCTCAGGTCAGGATATCACCAAATCAGAGTCAAAGCCTGTGACATTCATAAAACAGCTTTCCAAACACACCAAGGCCACTATGAATTCCTAGTGATGCCCTTTGGCCTGACTAATGCGCCTACATCTTTCCAAGCTCTCATGAATGAAATTTTCCAGCCATATCTTAGAAAATTTATCCTTGTCTTCTTTGATGATATACTAGTCTATAGCCCGGATTTACAATCCCATGCTAATCATCTGAGAACCGTGTTAAGAATTTTGAAATCTCACCAGTTGTATGCCAAGATGTCTAAGTGTATGTTTGCTCAGCTGAGAGTGGAATATTTGGGCCATGTCATATCCTACAATGGGGTTGAGATGGATGTTGCGAAGGTGGAGTGCATTAGAGCATGGCCAGTACCTGAATCTGTGAAAGCCTTGAGAGGTTTTTTAGGCCTTACAGGTTATTACAGGAGGTTTGTACAAGGCTATGGGTAAATCTGCAAGCCTTTGACTGAGTTGTTGAGGAAGGACTCTTTTTGTTGGACTGAATTAGCTGCTGAAGCTTTCCAGAACCTTAAGGATATCATGAGCACTACTCCTGTGCTCAGGATACCTGATTTTACTAAACCGTTTGTAGTAGAGACTGATGCCTGTAGTCGAGGCATTGGTGCCGTGTTAATGCAGGAGGGACAGCCTATAGCATATCTCAGTAAGGCTTTAAGTCCTAAGAATTTAGGACTGTCCATATACGAAAAGGAGCTGCTAGCAGTTGTGATGGCAGTGACGAAATGGAAACATTACTTGCTGGGGTACCACTTTGTTATTAAGACTGACCATCAGAGTCTGAGGTTTCTGCTAGAGCAAAGGCTGAACACTCCACTACAACACAAGTGTTTGACAAAACTCCTAGGCTTGGATTACGAAATTCAATACAAAAAGGGGGCTGAAAACAAAGCTGCTGATGCATTGTCTAGGAAGGGGTTTCCAGAGGAAGACTCTTCAGGTGAAACTTGCGCCATCACTTGTGTCAAACCCCAATGGCTGACAGATGTATCTGAAAGTTATGAAGGTGACTCAGCATGTCAGGACAGAATTGCCCAATTACTGGTCGACCCCACTTCGGTTACTGATTATGAGTACGCAGATGGAGTTCTGAGGTTCAGGAAAAAGATTTATGTGGGGAGTCATGGTGATCTGAGGCATCAAGTCATTCAACAGCTACACTGTTCTGCAGTAGGGGGTCATTCTGGACAGTTGGGATGTTTAAAAAGGCTAGGTGCAGTTTTCTATTGGCCTCGGATGCGGAAGGATGTAGCTGACTTTGTCAAACAGTGCGATGTTTGCCAAAGGAACAAACATGAGAATGTTCCCTATCCTGGGCTGTTGCAGCCCCTACCAGTGCCTAACCAAGCGTGGTCTCAGATTAGTATGGATTTCATAGAGAGTTTACCTCTCTCTGAAGGTGCCGACACTATACTGGTGGTGGTAGACAGGTTGACAAAATTGTCCCATTTCATTCCTCTTAAACACCCTTTCTCAGCAGTGGAGGTTGCCAAACTGTTCCTCACACACGTCTTCAGATTGCATGGGCTACCAGAGGTTATAGTTTCAGACCGAGACAAGCTTTTCACCAGCCTTTTCTGGCAGGAATTATTTCGACTAGTTGGTACTCGATTGAACTTCAGCTCAGCTTACCATCGACAAACAGATGGTCAGAGTGAGCGTGTCAACCAGTGTTTGGAAACATACTTGAGATGTATGACTAGTGACAGACCTCAGAAGTGGAAATCTTGGCTACCCTTGGCTGAGTGGTGGTACAACACAAATTACCACACTAGCCTGCAAACGACCCCCTTTGAGGCCCTTTATGGTTATAAGCCTAATCATCTACCCTTAGGCTTCATTTCTGATACCATTGTCCCTGCAGCTGGTGACCTTGTCAGGGATAGGCAGGCTGTCTTACAGATTCTTCGCCAGAATTTGACGCAGGCGCAGCAACGCATGAAGTATTTTACGGATAGAAAGAGGAGTGAACGAGCTCTGGAGGTTGGTGATATGGTCTACCTGAAGCTTCAACCTTATCGACAGCGGTCAGTAGAAGTGAGGCGTTCCTTGAAACTTGCCTCCAAGTACTATGGTCCCTTCCCTGTCATTGCTCGAATTGGGGAAGTAGCTTACAGACTGGAATTGCCACAGGGATCCCGAATTCATCCAGTGTTCCACATTTCGATGCTTAAAAAGAAGGTAGGAGGTTCTCAGGAGGTCATGCCTACACTACCACTGGTTGGTCCTGATGATCAAATTCAGGTTGCTCCGGAAATGGTTCTCAAACGAAGGGCTATTCTGCGAAATCAATTGCCTGTGTCACAGGTTCTGATCAAGTGGATTAACCTGGGATTCGAGGAAGCCACCTGGGAGGATCTTGACTTCATCAAGAACCAATTTCCAGGATTCCATCCTTGAGGACAAGAATGCGCTAAAGGGAAGGGTATTGTCAGGAACACTAGGTAATGCGACGTAGCTTTGGGGAATGCGGCGGCGTTTTGAAGGCAGCTCAGACTTCTGGCACATACGGTGTCGTTGCACTTAAGAAGTTAGTTAGGAATTCTGTTGCAGTTTGTTTCAGTTAGTTGCATGGTTAGTTGTCAGCTTCAGTCACGTTGCATGGAGGTGTAGGAAATTTCTATAAATAGCCAAGTATAGGAAAGGCTTGCCAGACAAGATTCATTACAGAAATATTCTCAATAAGATTTCCCTTATTTCCCTCATTCTCCCTCAATTCATGTTTCTCCCTTCCTATTTCCCTCTTATTATTTCTTCTTCTGAGAAATCATCAGGTTAATTCCTGACATAGCTCTGACGACGGGCTGAGCGAGCTAGCGAGCTGACCAGGTGAACGAACCGACCTGCAAATGGATAGACCGCGGGGCTAGTTCCTCGGAGCAACTCCGACGGTCAAGTCAGTAGAGCTTACGAGTAGGGTAACAGTATAGAGTACTGTAGATAGTGTACCTTGTGTCGTCTTGTGGCGCTGTATTTATAGGTTGGAGGGAGAGAGTTTCCTTATAGGATTTTGAATCCTAGTCAAGGGGGAGTCTTGCTAGGGTTTCACCCGTGGATCCCGAAAGGCTTGGGAGGCGCGGCCCATTAAGCCCACGCGGCTTGCGGGGCGGCCGAACTGATGTTCTCTATGTCCGAGCTGCTCTGCCCGAGCCGCCATACCACAGCCTTCGAGCTGACACGTGGCATCCGTAGATTGGTTGGCCGAGCTGACAGGTCATCATGTCCAAACTGACACGTGGCTACTAGGAAATTTGCCCCACTACAGTATCCAATATGGTCCGTGAAAGCATAAATTTCCCTCCTCTATTCTCAACAGCTATGGAAGAAAATTACATTTTTTTTTATTTGCAAGCTTGTCACTAATGATTGGGCAACCAAAACACTTGAAAAGTTACAAAATTAGTGATTTGGCAAATTATTTGTCCCAATCTACATCAAGGGGCAAAATAGTGAAACAAAAACTTTGACTCATTCAAAATATTGTATATTGTTAAGCCTTTTATTGAACAAACTGTACATTAGTAAATTTAGCGAGGATATAGCTAAATTTGCATGTTGTTTGAGTTTAAGTCAAAGGGTTAAGGAAGTAGGTTTTCCATCAAGAAGCTAGAAAACAAACATCTTATAAATGAAGGAAATAGATGTGGAAAAAGAAAAGAATAAATTACCTTTTACCCCCTATAATTTAACATTTTACCACATAATCCCTATGGTTTTAAAAACCTACATGTAATCTACTCATAATTTGGATTAAAGTGGCACCATTTATTTATTCGTTAAAACTAACGGTCAATTGTAAAAAGTCAAAGTCAACCTAATAATTTGTCAAATTCACCATACCGCTACTTTTTCTTTTCTTTCTCTCTATTTTTTTTGGAAGAGAAGAGAAAATTTTTAAAACCTATACTTTGACCTACAAAATTTTAATTTTTTTTCAAATACAAAAGAGTCAGAAGGGAAATAAAAAAATAAATAAGAAACAAAAAAAATATCATTATAGGTTTTTAAATCAAAATTTTTAATGATCTTTTCTAGTTCTTATTTATCTATTTTTGTTTCAATTTCTTCTCTTTTATGTTTGGAGGAAAAATAAGAACTAATGAAACAGTAAATTTGTTAATTTATTATTTTGATTTTTTCCAATTCACCATTAGTTTTAATAAAAAAAATTAACGATGATACATTAACTCAAATTATAAAGGGGTTATATATAAATTTTTAAACCATAAGAGGGTTATGTGGTAAAGTACCAAAAATGTAAGGAGATAAAAAGTAATTTATCCAAAAAAGAGAGAGCAACTTCAGATAACATTTGATTGGTGAATTCAGCATCCACTACCCGTAAAGCTTTTGGATTGCCATTTTTCTAAAAAAAATGAAAATAAAAAAGTTTTTTGTGAACAGATTTTTATTTTACATTTATCAAATCGTTACATAATATTTTTCTTAAAAAACTTTAGAAAAATGACAATTCAAACAGATAATTATCATAGATTCTTTATTCAAATCTCTTCTATGTTATCCAAGAGCATTGCTTCGGGATTGAAGTCAAGATGTTCTTGGTTTTTTGGTTCGAAAGAATTAAGTCAAGAAATGGAGTTTTATCTTTGATCTCCACCCTCCACGATCTGTCCATGGTACACATGCATCTGTCAAGAGGTGTCAAGGCCAACCCCTTTATCTCCATCAATCCCACTCCCACCATTTAATCCCGTTTTCGCCACCTCTATCCCCTTTACCCTATTCCTAATCTTTCTTCTCCCTTTTAACTTGACCACCCACACGCATCCCACTAACCCTTCCCAGCCAACCGTTAGCTCTCCATATTCCCTCCTTCGCTTTCTCTTATCGCTGATCAGTGATCTCCACTCTCTACAATAGCAGATGTAGATCTACCACATTTTTTTACTGTTAGCTCCCTCCTTCCATCCCTCTTATCGCTGATCCCACCCTTCACCATAGCAAATTTAGATCTACCACACTTTTTTTTTAACCTTGAAACCTACTTTAGGTACACTAGTCATTACCTTTGTACAAAATCTGTACTAATACCGTTCCAAGGAGGATCAAGAACGTCTAGAACTACCGTTGACAATTGCTATCACTTGATGCCGTCCTAAGGGGGAAGGGGCTCTAAAATTGCAGTGCAAGCACTTCAAGAGCGAATGATTACGCTAGCACAATTTTCGAGCACAAATTTCAATAAGTGAAAAATTTATTGCATTAATATCCACATTTATTATTTTTAGTGTTTTTAATCTGTTTTTGTTAGCGTCAATACTGCACTACGCAATTATCAGTGATATTTGTATAAATAATTGATCCGTTCTAAAGCAATGATTACAAGCTGTGACTCTGCCCCTTGACATCACTAATTCCATATCCTACTTATCTTGCAAACCAGCGCTTTCTACAAGCAGAGAGAGTCGCGG